CAACTCCCAGAATTCCCCAGCCAGCATTCGCTGGCTGGGGAATTCTGGGAGTTGAAGTCCGGACATCTTCAAGTTGCTAAGGTTGAGAAACACTGATCTAGGCCTTCCCAGCTGTGCTTCCCAGCTGTTTTGTTCTAAATCTCCCAGAATTACTTGCTTGCACGGCGGCAGCCATGTTGGCTTGGAATGCACAAAATGGCCAGAAAGCATCAGCTTGAGGAAATCTGCAATCCTTCCCCCCCCCCCCGGCTAGGAATGGACAGAATGGGAACCTCTGGACTCCAGATCCCATCTCTTCCTTAGCTAGGGTCAGTGGTGATAGATGATGAGAGTTGTAGCATAGTGACATCTAGTCTGGGAGTCACCAACCTTTCGGACCTCAGGGACCACTAAATTCATAATTTCAAATCCCGCGGACCACTAATACAATCTGCCTCATGAATGGGCGGGCGTGGCTAGGTGGTCATGTGACTGGGTGGGCGTGGCCAACTCAATGCCACTCATGTCGAGGGGCGCTACTCGCCACTCCTCGCCTCCCCGCCCGGGGTCCTTACGGCCCCAACAGGAAGCAGTTGCTGGAGCTAGGCGGCCACCATGAGAAAGAGTTGGCAAAACAGTTCAGTTCAAATTGGATCTGACCGAGAAGGAGGCTCAGCAGAAGCACCTCACTGAGGACTACGAGCATGGGCTTTCCAAGCAGAGGGAAGACCTACGGGAGTGCAAGGCCAGGTACCTGGTGGCTCAGTGGGCTGAGATGGTCACCCAGTTCCAGGCCATAATGTAGTCCCACTGAAACGAGGCCCTCTGGCTCTTTGCCACCAGTGGAACTTCCCTCCAGCCTTCGCCCAAAGCCAGGAGGCTGAAGCAGACCCCAAGTCAGAATTTCTGCCTCCCTCTGACCCACACAAAAAGACCCCAAAGGGGGAGACTCTCTGCATCAACACAAGCATTCATTGCACGTACCCATCCCAGGGGCCGTAGTTTGAGGACCCCTGATTTAGTGCAATATAAAAAATGGAAATAATTTTTCTGTGGATCACCAAAATTTTCTCACGGACCACCAGTTGGTGACCGCTGATCTAGGCTGCCCAAGGTTAAGGCTGGGGAATTCGGGGAGTTGAAGTCCACCCAGCTTAAAATTGCCACGGTTGTGAAACACTGTTGTGTGATGGATTACACATTCTTTCAACAGTGCAAAGGAGGAAGCTAATATTTGAATTGCAAGCAGGTTTAATCCTATAAAACGTATTTGCCAAGTTTATAAAACATATTTGCCAAGGGGGGGAAAAATGTGGGGCAGTAGCTTTTTGTTTAAGAGTTGGAATTCAGAGTAGAGTTGAATCAAAGTCTTTCCGGTACAGGTTAGTCCTCGGCTTACGACCACAATTGAGCCGAAAATGTCTGTGGTTAAGTGAGACAGTTATTAAGTGAGTTTTGCCTCATTTTACGACCTTTCTTAAGTGGTTAAGTGAATTGATGGTTAAGTGAATTGGTGCGGTTGTTATACTAGTTACCTGGTGGTTAAGTGAATCTGGCAAAAGGTCGCAAAAGGGGATCTTGTGGACACTGTGACCGTCACAAATATGAAATCAGTCACCAAGCACCTCAATTTGGTTCATGTGGCCATGGAGATGCTGCAATGTCATAAGTGTGAAAAAGGTCATAAGTCACATTTTTTCAGTGCCGCTGTAACTTTGAATGATCACATTGTAAGACAAGGAATACCTGTAGTATTAGCGACATCTGGAGTGTTGCAGGAACATTTGCAGGAACTGTGCATGGCTAGTCTAGTGAAGAGAAGGACCAGGGGAGACATGATAGCAGTCTTCCAATATTTGAGGGACTGCCATGGAGAGAAGGGGGTCAAGCTATTTTCCAAAGCACCCGAAGGCCAGACAAGGAATAATGGATGGAAAGTGAACAAGGAGAGATTCAACCTAGAAATAAAGAGGAATTTTCTGACAGTGAGAACAATCAACCAAGGGAACAGAAGTTGCCTTCAGAAGTTGTGGGAGCTTCATCACTGGAGGCTTTGAAGAAGAGATTGTCAGAAATGGTGCAAGGTCTCCTGCTTGAGCAGGGAGGTGGACTAGAAGACTCCCAAAGTGCCTTCCACTTCTATTATTCTATGTTCTATGTCAGTGATGGCTAATCTTTTTGCCATCATGTGCCAAAAGTGGGGGGAACGCAGAGGGCAGTGCCGGATTTAGATGAAAAGAGGCCCTAGCAGGGGTGGGTTTCTCGAACCGGTTGGAACGGGGCCGGCGGCGTCCTCGTGCACGCGCGCAGTGCATGCATGCGTACTA